AAAGAACAAGCAAAGTGGATCTCATCAAAGATTATAGAATCAACAAGACAAAATCAAAAGATCTCTATAAGGCAAGGTTATGTTTATAAATTTACTCTACTTTATAGAAAAAGTAGGGATGATAATCTAGCAAACTTTAGGAAGTTGTGTAATAATAAAGGTCCTACAATTATTGTTGGAAAAGTGTTGGGTACTGAAGAAATACTTGGTGGATATAACCCACTTTCATGGGGTTCCCAACATGAGTATGCTGAAACTAAAGAGAGCTTTATATTTGCTTTAGATGAAACCATACATAATAGTATAGTAAGTTTTGTTGAAAATAATATATTTGCAATTTATGATAAAGATAAGTGTTACCCTGCTTTTGGGCATGGGATCTTTGATTTATGTTTTGGACCTGGAATAAGCAAAAAAGTCACATACCAAGTTTCAATAAGAAATTCATTAGATCGTTTTGATTGGTCTGACTGGGAAGTGTTTTCAGTTAACTTGACTAATTGAGATGTTCAAGTAATTTCAAATTTATGTGGTCATAATAATAATTGGTATACTAATACTACTGTATTGACTGCAACTTAGTTGTGAGGTAACTCAAATTTAATAATAAACTAAAGTTTGTTACCATTTGGAAAGTATTAGACACTGAAGAAATACTTGGTGGATATAATCCAATTTTATTGGGCCTCAAAGAAAATATTATGTTGACAGCAAAGGAAGCTTTATTAATAACAAAAGTTTGGAAGAGAGTATAGTAAGTTTGATGTTTGATGTTTGATGCTTGACATGTCATTTGGGATAATTATAATAAAAATCCTTTTCTTGTTTGAGAAGACATTTTTTATCTTTGGAAGTGATTTACATTTTTGTAATAGCTAAGTCTTCTTGTACTGTTATTGAATCTACAGTTCCAAATAGATGTTCTTCATATGGGCTGACTGGAAGGGTTTTCTGTTTCGCAATCGTAATTGATTTACAATCATTTTTCTTATGCAGTTGAATTTCACATCTGTTGAAGTGGTGCCATTTATTATGCATTTAATTATCAAACCCGGCTTCGTCAGGCAGGCTTGACAAATAAATCAGCAGCATTATATTTATATTTCTTTGGTAATGTTTTACTTTAAGGATAACATAATTTACTAAATACAGCATATGTTTGTATTGTATTATATATTTTAACTTAATTTGTTGTTGGTTTTTTTTATGTGTCCACACGTTATTTCATTATTTGCCGTAATAGTTCTGGTTATTGTATATAGATACAATAACGATTTCCAATTTAAATCAAGATAAATATTAATATAGTGACTATGCTCTCAAACGTTCTTTTTTGTTACAGCCAGATTATTTAAAGAGGCAGATAAATACTTAATTATTTAAATTTATTATTAAATTTATTGTTAATTGATACTTGCGTGTTTATATTGATAGATATACAAATCTCTTGCTCCGAATGCTTAAAGCAATATTCAATATGCTCAATTTGGGTAACAGATGGTTGATTTGAATATTGGTCTTACAGCATTACCTATTATGGGAGATATCAGATTTATTCAGGCAAAACGAGCAGACTTGGAAAAGTTTACGGCGGTCACGAAGAATACTTCCTCGATTCTCGCGATATAGAACACATTGTTGAAATAATCTTGACCCAAACAATGATGTGGCTAGATTTGCTCAGACTCTCGGCCAGAGGGGTAGGAATTTGGCACAGACCAAAAACTATTTTGCCAGTCGATATGATGTTGGCACCTGTGGTTGACACTCGCGTACAGTCCGTGACAACATTCGTAGCAATCCGGAAGGCTGCATCGGAGCCAATCTGGATATCGATAGATCACTTGCAGCAGCCTCCAGAGACAACGTTTTTGGATAAGATATCTGCCCTTTACATTTTTCATTGTTGTGTAAACCAATGTACCCGGGTCTAATTTCGGGGCGGTGTATTTAATCTGTTAATGAAACAGGGTAGAATTGTTCGTATTAGAAACCGTTTTTGATAAATAATTAAAACACAAACTGTGGCGATTTATTTCCATTGTTGAGTGCTGTTAAACTTGCAGATAGCTTTAATAAATCTTCAATGGATTGATTATTCATACTACCAGTAGTGCTTACAAAGACCAGCAGGTATGTATGAAATCTGCTTTTTATCGCTAACGGGGTCAATTTCTTACCGCCTGTTCTTTCGCGATAAACTAGTAGGGTTATGGTTTGTATTAGTTGTGAAATGGCCATGGTATCTATCAAGGCTTACAAACAATATTGTATCAATGTCAAAAATGGAATAAGATTTGAACAAGAATTGAAAACAGTGTCACCGGAGCTCGAATGTACTCACTTTCGCCCGTATTAAAGCAGTCAGTAAGAATACATCTAAACTCCCGACGACGAAAACCACCGTTAACCAGCCAATTACATTCATTGACATTGACACCCGCACTCAACCTTCTAAAACGATATTGTAACATTTTTGAATCGTGTCCAGATGCAGATCGATATTAGAAACTTGTAAGGTGGATGTGGACAGTTTTGATGACAGCGCGTGGAAAGTCATTTATTTATAATGGCATAACACCCTTACCAGTTTCGAAAAGGAAAGTATATACTATACTAAGCTCTTATCGACAGGAGAATTACCTAAACCGAAAAAAATTATGATATATTTAACCGCAGGTATGTGGTTACGAGTGATGTCAATCTACGGTATTAACCTCTCACCTCTTCTGTTGTCTTACAATTTAGCGCGTCAAAACAGTTTCAACATGAATTGATTACGAAATAAAAAATTGAAGCATGACATAAACATTCACGCTGATATGCTCAGTACAAAAAGCCGAAGCAAGCGAATAAATTGTACCTGTTTTATTCCTTTATTATTTCTCTCACATTGAGCCGTATCACCACATCCCGGCAACTCTCAGGGAAAAGAATAATATAAGCGATCAAAATTTTACTATATAGAAAATTTTATGCTTTGGCGGACAGTTTACACAAGGACGTTTCGTAACAGAAGTTGTGTACATTTATTGGTATATAGAATATTGGTCTATCAAATAACAGTTTTGTGAGGTTTGTGTTAATGTTAATTGGCAGAAGCTACATTACTTTAAGCTAACAATAAACAGTTAGTACCCAGTTGGTAAAAATTATATATAACCGTTAATTGCTTTTCAACTTTCGCGATTCACTTGTTATTACTTTCAAACCCATTTGTTCCGCTTTAGTACTCCAATTATTCGCAGATTGCATTATTTGATATCCAAACTTATGTTATAACGTTGAAGCTACTGAATTGTCGGAAAATCGACTTGCGCTTTATACATTTACGCGAGACATATTCTTCTTGGAGAAACAAAATTTGAGATCGCCCGTCTGTTGTCCTGCTATTCTACATAACGCTGCCATCATACAATATGCAATCAACTTCATTCTCTCGAAAACTACGTAAAGTCGTTTCAAAAAGTTGAAGTGTCTAAACGTATAATGAATAATAATAGCAATTATTATTAAATGCATCAATCCAAAAATTCAAAAATTAGTCATGCAACGAGAACGAAAGACAACTGTCATTAGTCCATGATCATGAGAGGCAAAGCCTTTAACTATTTATAAACTAATTACTATATAAATTTTTAATATCGAATTTAAAATTCTAGAAGCTTTAAAACATCATACAAAGTGGTCGCCCATAGCTCGTCATAACCTGAATCGGTAATTACCCTTACAGCGAAAATTACCAAAATAATATATTATATATTATATACAAGTTCATAACGAAATCAGTCATGATCATCAATCCGGTATACAACAGTTTGCGTGTGGCGTAAAAACCAAATTGCAACACTCTCGAGTATGGCGTAAAAAACAAATTACGCCACACACCTGAGGGGATAACCTAAACTAAGTGGTATAACATAATTATGTTATTTCCACTAATGTCCTTTACCATCTGGAATAAATCTGGAAATAATAATGGCAAATCATTTAAATAAAAGTGGAAGAGTGAATGTTTTTACAAAACTTGCCATAAGATGTGTATAGTGATAATCTTCATCATGAATTTAGAGCAGATCCTGAAGTCGAGTATGTACTGATGGCAACATCACAAGTGCTATTCCGAGATCAGCACGGAGACACCCTTTCAGATAAACAAACTGTTGACGATAATATCAAAGTATTGAAAGTTTTTTTTTATTTAGAAAAATTTTTTTTTAAAAAATGAGCATGGTACGTTTTTACAATCACATTGTCATATATCCGAAGCAACTGCTATGTATGAGACAGCTATTTCTGTGGAAAAGTTTCCATTTGGCACAACTAAATTTTTTTCCTGAAATGGAGGACTAAATACCGAGATTATTTCCAAGTTAAGTGACGAAATTGATATTAGCCAACCGAAAAATTGTATCCCTCTTTGATCGAATCAAATTCCCAGATTTCCGATAGAAAAAATAGGAGCGATGAGACCTAGTCTCGAGGCTTTGCCTCTTCCCATTGTTATTGTGTCAGGTAATTTGAAGTCACCTTTATCGGCATATGTTTTTCTTACCCTGTTAATAATTGCCGTTATGTGGGTCGTTATATTGAGACGAACGTGGGATATAGGTAAAAAAAGTGACCACTTACGGGGTGCGTGGGTTAGGTACCAGGAACTACTATTTAAATTTAAGATTTATTTATGTACGAAAAATTATTATTAATAAGTAGGTGAAAAAAATATATATTATAAACGTGCTAGTCTCTTTCAGGGATAATGACAGTTATGCATTGTAATATGTAATATAATAAATATAAATATGAATAAAAACTACGTTGAAATTGGATTTTTTAAAGGCTAGTTCGAAAGAAATAAAGTGTAAAAAAACAAATGGAAATGTAAAAATAAAGAATAAACACGCATCAGGAGATAGTGTCAGATTTACTTTGTGTAGGCTAGCAAATTTTTTGCCTATTAAAATGGATACGTACAATTTCGTCCCCAAATTACTTCCCAATTACGATAATACGCATATCGGATACCCTTTAAATAGAGATGAATATCATTGCAATATTTTCCATCCACCCAACCATCCCACCAAAATACAGTATCCGTCCACATACGGTGATATTCTGGGGCCCATATTTCGTAGAAGTATCCTGCTGCCCAGGATGGAGATGTATAGCTCACCATTGGCAGATCATCAGGAGAGTTGATATCTTCATGCCATTTCGGCTGTCCAGTCCAGTCAACCCAGTGAAGACGTATGTAACTTAGTGGGTCAAGGTATCCGCGAATATACGTCCATACTAGATGTGTGGGATAACCAATAGTATCGGAGGAGCCTATTTCTGTTGTATTTGCAATATTTGTAGAATTTTTTGTATCATTGGTAGTAACGAGATTCGCCATGGAAGTTTTGACTAGTATGACTAAGGTCAATAATATACATATGGCTTGCAATTTACGCACAAACATTGTGGTTACGTTGATAGCTCGCTTGGATAGAATTTACTTCCAATTTATATCTACGTTGGAAAGTGTATAAGCGATTTTTTTCATTATATCGTTGAATATTAACGTTAATGCCAATCATACCTAATATATTCTTTTCTCCTTGATAAATTGCATACATTCTCTCTTATTCTTATTGTATTATTTATAATTTGAAGAAGAGCAGAGTCCATAGAGTCTTGACTATAATAAAATTTCTACGTATGGGTTCCCACTCACGTTTTTTTCAAACTATTGAAAGCAAAAAGGTGTGGTGTATTGTGACGGGTTACTTTTATTACAATACGTACTGTTTTGTTATGCTGACATCTCACAGTTATGTCTTCTTTTCTGTGTGCGTTTTCTCTCCTTATTGGCTGCAACTTTTTGTTCCCGTAATTTAATTTACTTGTAAGGCGGCTTATTTTAACAATCTTGTATGTCAGATTAAATCTATGTCAATTCATTCCGTTCTGTTCAATTTGTGCCGTTCCCTGATGGGCAGATTATCGAGTAGGAACGACAAATTTGTAATGCCCGTTTGTTCCCATCTGTTCCCATCTGTTCCATCCCCATCACACGCACATTTTATTAATAATTGCAAAATGGTTTTATTGGTTTCGGAAATATATACATTTTTGTAAAGAATAACACTTGTAGTCTTCAAACAACGAAAGGGGAAACGTTCTTAATTTTTCGCTGATTTATGATTGACCGATACAATTGAGGGGGCGGAACATACATGCATAACTACCAATTTTGACGATTGATTTGGGGGTGGCCGATCGACGATCGATTACTTATATTAATTTGGCTGGTGCATCAGTGATGTACCATATACAGTAGTATTGTGCGGTTACAAGACCATATTAGAAAATTATAGATTTTTTGATGTACTTTTTTGAGTATACTTCACATGAAAACGAATGCACAGACTAGCCAATCAAAAATGCTGAAAATTTTGTATACAATAGCCAATTAGCCAATAAAATCAAGCAATTTTATACGGAACTGACTTTAACTCACATACTGTAAATGAAGACGAATATCAATGGAAATGGACCGATTAGTTTTCGCTATTTGAAATAACCAAGTATAGACCGACTTTAAATATCGAGCAATGGAGTAAGAGAGTAGATTCGTTCCGTAATATAGAGTAACGACGAAAAATCGTTCACTGTACTCACACTTTGAAGAATATTTGTTGCAAGCGACGTGCGCAATAAATAAAAACGTTGTTGGGGGTTTGGAGTCGTATAAAACTATTGTATATGTATTGTTTTCTCGATAACCTTGTTTGCGTAATTTCCTGGAGCGGTAATAGAGTAGAATAGAGTATTGTTCGGAGAGAAGCGTGCGTAATTATAATCGAGTGCGTGGATGGTTTTCTACGCGTGAGTTTGTGACACATCATTACATAATATTGCGATTGTTCTGTATAAAACTTTTTTCATTGGGTAAAGTCAGGAAATAGTAAATATTAGCAGTAATACGATACTGTAATGGCACAGCTACAAACAAGTTAACAGTCAAGTCATCATGTGGTTTCTAATTGAAGAATAATTGACAACTGTGCCGTAAAAAATGTAACTGAACTAATTTAGTAAACTACCAATTGTAACATGGAAAACTTTTATGCTGAGATGTTCTGACGTACCAATAATCTACGCTTTGCAAGATAAATTTGCCTTGAGTAAGTTCAAATGCTATAATTGGTTAATATTGAATAGCAAAAATGTAAGGTGTGCAAGTATAAGCGGTCACATACTAGAAAACCCCTTAGAAACATTGAGAAGACTTTATTCAGGAGAACCTACAACAGGGGTTTTTTGCTGATAATAATAGAGGAGTTAATCAGTTATTTGTATACGGTAATGACATAATTTTCTCACTGACAATATAAATAATAACAACATTACGTACAAGTGAGGGTATCTTCTATATAGAAACACGCTACGCAACCGTTTTTTGCAAATAATTAACATAACTTACCAAGTATTTTGAAATACCCAAGTCCAAGCTCCAAAAAAAAAAAATGTTTCGGAGAATATTTTGAATTCAATATCGATTGCAGTTTGTTAGTTTTTGAAGGCACCTAAGTTGGATGCAAAGACTTCACGACACATTATGATGTTACAGTTGAGCTAAAGCCACAATATAATTACACTGATATAATATTGCTGTCATCATCAATATCATAGCAATCAGTTAATTATCTCCTGATTTTTCTTATTTACAGAACAATCGCGATATTATGTCATTAAGTGTTACAGCCGTCGCAGATTCACACCCCCTATTACACAGATAACTACATTTATACTTAAAATATTACATCTAACACGAAACACGTCTCTCCGAACTATTCTCTGTCAACGTTTTATATCATTAATACTCCGTAACTACTCTACCTTACGCACACATCCACAACCACAACAACTAAAACAATCTTTTGCCGTAACTCCGTATTATATACAAATACAGTTTGACGACTCATAAACTAATATACACCGCAAAACACCTCTCTTTATTGCGCGCGTCGTTGACACCGCCATCTCTTCTAAAGCGTAAGTACAGCAAAAAATTTTTGCCGCTACTCTATACAACAATGTGTGAAAAAAACTCGCACTTTTAAGTCGATATCCGAAGTTTCGTTCCGTTACAACGAAAACTACGTCTTATACTATCGGACAAGTAAAAAGCAATTATACGGTTACTATTAATAGTTGTTGAATAGGTAAGCCTGTTAGTTCTTTCTCTTTGCCTTACGCCGGGCTACTACTAAAGTTTGCTATTACCAAAAGATATAACCTAACCGATCACTATCGTAAATAATGACATTATGATTTAAAAGAAGCTTGCGAATTAAACGTACTTTGAAGGGCATCAAGCAATAGGAAAGTATGTCAACTATTTGCACACACGTAGTATATATTAGGCATTGCGTATAGTGGATAGAGCCTTTCGGCTTAAGAATCTGTGATGTGTGGGGATTGCGATC